AAAAAATAGATTTTTCATATGTTTTACTATGTGATCGACAAAAATTACGTAGACTTTTGTCCAGTGAGTGTATATGCATCAAAGGTGGACCCTAACTCTAAGTAGATCCGACCAACGTATATTTGCATATATGCATACTACAAAAGGAGAGATCAACCAGATTAATCTAAATTTTATTATTCTTGTGGCGTAAAAAATTACCAAATACACCACTTCATTAATTCTTTTTTGCTTAAACAGATTTGGTAGCGTTGTTGATTGCTTGATGTAGTGTTCTTCATCATAAAATGATTACGATAACGTATTTTATGAGAGGACATAATAGTATCAAATCATGTGCTAACGTATATTTGCATATTTTGTCTATTTGCATAAAAATCTACCAGTCCCGACAGTATGCAAATAGACAGGTGCGACTGTACTGCTTATCCGCCGGTTTTGTTAGTGACATTCCACTAACAACAATTATTTACTATTACGGCAGCAGAAAAACCAAAAACTTTTTAACGAATGATAAAACTGCTTTTATTTATAAGTGTTGACACTTCACCACAGTTAGTCCGTTGTTAGATATTAGCATTTGATAGTGGACGCTTCAGACATTTATGCTGACGAAACAGTTTTATTTATATACCGTTGTCTTGTATATAGATGAATTTTCTTTCGGTGAAAGATATGGCTGCGGGCTGCACAACCGTACAGCCACTAAAAAGAAGCAACAATTTTAAATAAACGCATAGTTGGGCGGCACTTAACTGGCAAGTTACATAATCTTTACTATTATAATACCGCGCGCCTTTTGACTATGACGTTATGTTCACTCACAACTAATATTTATTCAAACCGTTGATGAACAGGTCTATGTACAGGCGTTTTGGGGGACTTGCGAGCGACAAGAAACGAGCGCAATTATCCCCCACAAATATATACCAGAAGTTAAAAGGCTGTCTTAAAAAATAAATTTATTTGCATAATAATTATTGTATTAATGATAATAACATTGTAATTTCGATTATGCCAAAAAATAAATCTTTATCGTAAGAATCGATGCTTCATATTTTCGCATCTAACAAACCATGACATGAAACGGTTGACATAAAAGATTTAAGCGAGAGGTTTGCACTTGGAGAGAAGTCTTCTCATCTTGCTGAGAGAGCTGTTATTCAACGATGTAAGGGCTAGGCCTGGTCAGAACTGAACGAACGACAAAACAAAGGGTAGAACCATAACGCTCGACCAGCTAAACAATATATTCAATAATATTTCTGCCGGTAAAAACCAGTACAGCGTACCCTACATCTACACTACATACAGTATATAAGCTGCCGTGAATATTTCACTACGCGTGCGCTACAGAATTGTTATGTGACGAATGCGTTATTCTAGTTTTACTGAAAGCGAACCAGTAATCAGACGACCGCAACAACGTACTGTAAGTTGACATTAAATAGTAATGCTTACGTCGATGAATATTTTCCCAGACCACGACTATTTGGTTCATTTCTCCAAGAATCGAGTTTACGGTATAGTTTTACCATCTGTATATGATACACAGTTTCTCTGTGCGCTAAAACGTTCGTAAAGTGACGATATTAGAAAAACATACATACTACCAGAAAAGATATTCAAGAAACCGACAAACTTTTCATTACTAACGCGCGCTGAAGAGTCAATTTATTTGTTGAGACGTGAAAAAACGCACGCGAAAACGGCCGACGTCCAAAATAAAGGTGCTTCACCGTTGAGCCTCTGGGATAATCTTGTATTTGAATTAAGTAGCCATATTAAGTATATTCCCGTCAAGTCGCCTTTTTGCTGCTGAAATTGTCTATCAAATAATAAGATATTAAGTTTAAATATTGATAACTTGGCGAGCGATATTGTAATTATGGATTTTTACAGTGATCAAAGACCGTTCTAATGAGAAATGGTTTATTGTAGGAAATATTTACGCTGTTAAGGAGTCTTTGATTCGTAATTAACTGAAAATGAGTAAAGTTTCTGTTCTTGCTTTATAATAAAATAGTTTTCCAGTCGCCAGGATTTTTAAAGTGCTTTATCTCTTTTGCAATGTTTGCTTCAGCACACGTTGAGAATAAACGGCTTACGAATTGTGTAGCAATGAGATCAAAGCAAATGGGTATAATATTGCTGGGTCCCAAAAGTTCGAGCTAATTTTCTTTCTCTCATTAGCTTATATCGCGTCGAAATATTCTCACCAAATTCAGTACAGGAAGATTTTTGCAAAAGATAACAGTCGTCAGACGGATACCCATTAATATTGAAGATTGGTAGAAGCATATTAACCTTACGCACTAATATTTCGCAATACCACAAAAGACTCGTAAGCATCAAGTCGAAGCATAAGTCGAAGCATAAGTCGAAGCATAAGTCGAAGCATATGACTCAGCAGGGGACTTAAGAAGCTGTTGATATCTACGATATGTTGGTCTGATGAAGCATGGAGTATCGTTACTGAAACGACTATACGAAATTGTTGGACATTCTTCCTGACACCTGATACGGACGCGCTGGAAATTGACAGAAATGCAACAACACATTGACGTCCTTGTGATCGATGAACCGATGCCGGCCGCAGAGACACCTTGATGATGGTGACATTCTTGCAACTGAGACTTCAAAAACGCATCATGACCAAATTTCAATGAACGCAAGCCTTTACTATTACGTTGAGACGGAACAAGCGTAGTACAGGACTTCTTTAGTTTGATTTATTTTGATGAGTAAAAAATGGAAGAATTTGGAGTGTTAGATGATGAGAGCAAACTTTAATTCAAACAATATCATACGAACACACGGATTCAACTTGAGGAAACTGGGAGTAATATCCACATTATAGTAGGATAATCATTATCTATTACATACTGTATCTATGTTTAGTGGCTACATTCGTAGTTAACGCTCGTTTACATTAATTCTTATTGTTTATTTTATAGCAATTACGGATTCGTCTGTTAAAAAATTGTTTACTGAATGAAAATGATGGCGAGACAATTTGAATAAATGTCTTGATTTACAGGTGTTCAGTGAGTGTTTTGATTGTTTTTGGAGGAAGAGCTGAACATGTCAATTTGTGATTGACGTAATGTATCTATAGGATAACGACTTCAGTACACGTAAACGAATCGAAATTCTTTTGGGCTGTGGTTCAACTACTTTCTTATCATCGCCTTCTTTTTCCTGCATGTGGCAAACATTACCACCTAATCTTGCCTTATAACCTTATCAAAACCGTCTTGAATGCGGGCAGCCTAGGCATAATCAAAGATAAGCATGAACAGCTACACACATTCAACAATCCTTTCCCCTGTCCCTTTTCCATTGCTCTTCCGAATTCCCACGTCTTAACTTACCAAAGCTCTTATTCAATACCATAACCACTAATCTACGCATTTGACAAAATTTCACTTTATTTCATATGCTTTCAGGACCTTCTTGTAATGTCGACTTTCTCTTCATCATCACCAGCGCTCAACGTTATATTCGGCAAGACGGAAATTGAACCTATCTCTGCGCGTGTCTTGGTTATGTCAAGCGTTTGCTTGTGTTGTGTGTGGTATTTACATTTCTTGTGTTAGTGTCGCTGTATCATCCTCGATAATCCTAGCTTGCAGCGTTTCTTGACGCCTACATATATCGTTCTCTAATTTCATTGCGTCATCGTCTTGTCTTCGTTTCCACGTGTCAGTTTGCTAGTAAACCTCGGAACGTTGCCTCTGAACGAAATAGTGTACATTGTAAAATTCGCGTCTACGCCCATTAAGTGCTCGTAAATCCTCTTGTCCTAAAAGTTATGAACAAAGATGAGCGGTTAGCATCGGAAATAATATTTGATGGGAGTAATAGGAAAATTCAAATTGCAATGATTTCCATTACGCAATTTCCTTATTATATGCAGTTTGCAGTTACAATTAGTATTCGCTTACAGTTTAAAATATTTGCAACGCTGTTAATCGGGATTTTTGAAGGAGGGAATGAAATGCCGTTAAACATTGACTTGTAGGTTTTCGTTGCGGTGTGTTAACTTCTACTGCTGATTCGTTCACTGCACCGCCAATATGTATAGATGTTATTCTTTGCGGTGTCCTACTCCTGATTCATTGATCACATCACCAACATGTATAGATGTCATTGTTTGAGGCGTCACATACTCTTGCGGTGATTGAATCAGAAGCTGCTCCATTACTACGACGAATACTCTTCCTACTACACACGCTGGCGTACAGCTAACTTCGATCTTATTTTCAGTCTATCTTGAGTTGTTTGTTTCACGACTTGAAATACACGCCATTTTCGATTTTCATAAATTCGTCATGCGACCCTTGCTCTACTACCTTGCCGCCTTGTTTAATCAGACGCACCTGATCGGCATGTCGAGCTAAATATCAAAATTATAGATAAGTAAATCACATGCCAACTTCATTCACATAAGCAAAACAAATATATTCGCGCATATTGATCTCTGTTCTTAAAATAAAACTTGCTAGGGTGAAATATCGTATTCTTTTGCTAGAGCTTTCTATTGAACGTTTGCATCGTTATTCTCTTTCCCTTACCGATTATTAATGTGGTGCAGTTGACTTCTGTACGTGTCTTTCTGTACTGGTATCAAGTGCCGACATCGCTTCGTCAAGTAATATTAATTGAGAATTCTAGTGTAGAAGCATACAACGCAGATTATTATTACAAGTTAAGCTCGATGTTTCATTAAATAGATAATTACCTTTATCAATGTCCTAGCGATCGCCTAAGAATAAAAGATCCCTATTAGTCTACATAAAACAACTATGCTATTACTTCAATACTCCCAAGCGATTGCTCACCACACGCGCGGCCTCTCTCCTCCATCCAGTCTTAACCCTCTCTCGCCTACTTTAGTCTCGCAACCATCATGAAATCTTCAGCTCAGCTGCTGCTGCTGCTGCCTCCACCTCTTCGTCATTTGCTTCGGTTTGCTATATCTTACTATACCTAATAGAATTATTAACAAGACCGTATTCTGAAGAGAGAGTAGATGTCAAACAGAGCAAAGGAGCAATTCATTACATAAGATTATAAATATGTCAACTGTCCTGTATAAAATTTACCTGAGATACAAGTCCAATTTTACTCCTCAGATCATGTTGTTTAACATTCCTGACATCACAACCTTCATGATATTGTAAAAGCGTAATAGTAGACGCAAGACAGTTGACTACGACCCCGAGAAAGAAAAAGAGATGTTACTTTTCAAAGATTGGATAGCTTACTAATTATATCTTTATTGCTTACCTTGCCTCCTCCTGATCGACAACGGTATGTCCGCTTGTACTCTAAACGACACATTTTTCAAGATTTGGGAGTCTCTCATCGTATGCGAAACTAACATTTTGGAACTCTATTTCTCTTTCCTCCATTTCCAACGGCTCATGCATTAAATCCGACATCTTTTCCATATCCACGACGGTTTTTTGGCCGATACGGTTCGTTTAATTCCATAAATAGTACACAACCTTCGCCCGTGACGCACTCACTACGCAAACAAATCGCTAAATTCAATGCTAATTTTACGGCAATTACATTGCTCGTTCATGCCAATATCTCATTTAATTTCAATGTAGGGGGCGGTCGGTGACTTTGGAGACGGCACTGTATGTTTAAATGGATAAAACATAAAGTTCAATGAGGTTGATTCGACGGTGGGGCTTAATAACTTACTATTACATAAAGAACGCGCGCAAAGATCCAGTGCATTATAATTCTTTATTAAATCCGTAGTAGTGCGTATAATCAATAACGTCATCATCATCAATCACAATCATTGGTCGAGATCATGTGCGCACAAAGAAATTCATGTGATCGAATTTTTCACAATACTGCAATAGACAGGAATAGTCCTTCGCTTTGCTCCGGACAAAAACAAAACGAAGAAGAGAAGTTGACAATTCTCCACTTGCGGCCAACTACTTTCAGTGAGATATTATTAGTTACCCCTACCCCCGTGTAACTACCGGCGAAATTTATATAAATGAGGGCAACTTCTTTCATACGTGCTACTACCCTACTAAACGGCGGCGCCATTTATTATTATTGAATATCTAAACCAAACACTGCTTAAACCCTTTTTCTTCGGTGCATTATGTCTGATTTGACCGGTTCTACCCAACAATTCATTAACGAAAATTATACATATCCCATGCCATTTTGACTATCGCCCCCCCAAATATCACTTTATCGGTTTTGCGATATCTAATTGCAACTCTCGAATACATCGAAACTGTTGAAATCTACACTGCTTGTATATTTTTCGAGTGCACGCCAGAAGCCTGGTCCCGTCAGCTTGCACTTGCACGGGAATTGAAAAAAGTATTGCTTCTGAGAGTTATCGGTTTTGAATAGTGTCGGTTTTCCGAGGTTTGACTGTACTGTACGTTGACGTTACGAAACTTGGAACTTGGTAGTTATCATTTATATGTTAGTTTTATGTCATGGTATGACTTTACAATATGTGATATGCTCATCTTTTATTTAACATCTCCGTTATTCATTTCTTGTAATGCCTACCAGGTGTCCTTAAGGATAGCAAGTTGGTGTTTTTCGAAGAGAACATGATAATGATGGAAGTGGAAAGAAGAAAGTAGTGAAGCTCAGGACACACCACATCCAGCATCCGAACCTGAAGCAAGAAAATGGCAAATGTTCTGTGAAATTGTCCTAATTATTGTAAATACAGACATTAACCTGGAAAGGTTATTGTCTAATCTTCAGTCATGTGAACGGGAAGAGATAATACACGCAACATGTTTTACAACTCAGCAAGAAATGGCAAATGCTACTAGTCATGGATGCACACATGTAGCAGAATTTTGGAACTGACAACAAGTGAATGATTTTATCTATTACTATATTAATATCAGGTATTAGTATTACGAACTCAACTAGAAATAATTTGTTATTATCATTATGTGTACTGGAGTACTTATTGGTATGGAGAGTGATGTATTTCAACCTGATTCATTATTATTATCAAGTTTAATTCAATATTTGTATTTAGGCAAAATCTAATTTTGAGGATACTATTTCAGATATTTTTTTAGAACATAGTTGTCTTGTTATTGTGGTATTCTTTTGGCATGGTCATGTATTTGATAAAAATTCCCAAATAAGAGCTGTCCCATATATTATATATTATCGAAAATATCATCAAATTTGCTGACATTATTATAGACATTAATTCTGATATATTAATATTACCGTATTCTTCCGAAAATAAGCAACACTTTTTTGTTACAGTGTTGCTTGTTTTCGGGTAGTTTAATAAAATGAAAGAAATTCCCACTGAATTATGTGATTTCTGTTGATAATACCACTGACTATCATTGACATCATTGATGAGACGGATTAATCGTTTTTTTTATTGTAATAACAATAATAAAATAAAATAACTAATTGAATACATTTATATATATAAAGGTAAATTAGTTATCCTGAAGTGTTGCTTATTTTCAGTGTTGCTTATTTTCGGGTGTTGCTTATTTTCAGAAGAATACGGTATTTCCTCACTCCTGACAGATTAAGATCCTCGAAAGCACATCAAGGACATATTAATATGCAAATATCAGTATTAGGTATTAATAACAAGCTTATCAGTATTAGGTATTACACTCACTACCAAAAAGTATTGGCCGAGATTTGCTGATCAATAGTAAAACATATGAAAACCCTTTTTTTTTTCGAAACTTGTATTGGCGTTATCTACTAAGCAAACAACAAAAATTTTTATATTGATATAAAGCTAATTGACTGTACTTTCCAGGGGAAAATACTGTTGAGCCAGAACAGTCATATTAATGAAGCTGTGTTTCAGTGAAGTAGCAGTATGCAGGTTACACATATGTAATCATATAAAAAATGTATGTGTAACATATTACTGCCACTTCATCGAACTGCAGCTTTACATACAATAGTATATTTAAATATTCATTTTTTTTTCGAATAGTACAATCAATAAGCTTCAGAACGGTACAAAAATTATGTTATTTACGCAATAGATATTGCTGATAGAGATTTTCGAAAAAATAGATTTTTCATATGTTTTACTATTGATCGGCAAATTTCGGCCAATACTTTTTGGTAGTGAGTGTAACTTTCCAAGTATTTATTTATGGAACTATCAACCAGTTATTTCGTGATAATATTCGCGGCGTTTTAGATAATCTAATCGTAGAAATTTTAAAAATAATTTCAGCATATCCACAATTTTTTGCTCTTGTATTTTCTCACTTTTATCTCTATGCTCCTGATGTTGCTTTGCCAAGTCTCTATGTTCATCACTGCCGGGTAATAAATAATATTGATTCTAGATTACACTCGCTTTGCTAGGTTATGTATATAAGAATGTTCTTTCAATTCGATAATAACTATCAATTATGTCAACTCTTACGGGAATATTATATTTAGCCTCGTTGACTATTGCTGCTGTCGTTTATAAATACAACGTAAAGAAGAAGAAAACATCGGTTCGAAAATCTGTGCAGGTTATTTCTTGTACAGACATTAGAGTCATATTTTTTTTTAGGCATAATTTCTCTGGTTTATGTATAGAAAAAACCAAAATGCGTTCAACTAATTAATAATGTAGGTTATAAACAATTTCAAGCAACTTTTCTACTAAAAATTATAAATTTAATAGCATACAAAATGGCGGCTATTGAAATTCAAATCCATGGTTTAAATTTAATAAGTGGCACAGAACAAGAAAAGCTATATATGTATTAGTGTCATATATCTGTGAACTGAGAAAAAAAAACAATTCAAGTTGAAAATGGAATATGGTTGTTTATACATTCACTGGCAAAAATCTTGATCTAACACGACACTGCATAAAAAACAGTAAACTTTGATGGGCTATGCTACGACAACTTGCTAATAAATTTAACAAACGTTATATCACTCGAATCAGAAATTTATTAATATGGTGTTAGGTTGTCTTTGTTATTAATTAGAGCTTGAATTCTACGAGACATACTGTTTACTAAATTTTTTAAATAGGTTTGTTTCAACCAATCCTCCTCAACGCATCTGCTAGTTTTGGAAAATAAATATCACATTTGCCTACCAAAAAAAACAAAGCTAATAAAAAGCCTTATATTGTAAAACAAACCTTATTGTTTGAGAATACACTTGTCAATATAACAATAGACTCACTATTCAAAACTTGCTTGTATGCACGAAACTGATGCAACCTTAGAATTTGCTGGCATGTACAAAGGCTTGTGAAAACGATACCAATTGATACTAATTTAAAATTTTGCGGGTCGATATTAGCCCATGTATTACTCAACCCTAAGTGAGCAAATTCTTTAGCCAGTATGACTGGCAATGAACATGCTCCTTATGGAACCTAGATTTTCAGACTCTGCGTAAAACGGCAAGCAATAAAAAAATTCTCCCTAAAAGTTCACAGTCCAAGTCTGTATTCTGAATTAATGAAAAAACTATGCTGTGAGTTGCAAACACAAATAGCTATCTACAAGAAGCGCATACGACACGAAAGAAATCGTGCATATTGTAAAGCCTGTTAGATTTACTCATTAGTAGGAGTAGCCGATGGCTTCGTTGAAAGACGCTAATCGCAAGTGTGATACACAAACGCTGTAAAAAGCAGGGTACAGAATACTTATCCTTTAGTTAGTGATGCCTAAAAAATCAAAAATCTCGTGATCTAACGATTGAA